TCTCAAGATTTTATTCATTGTTTGAATATTTCGTTATTTTGTCGATGAGTTTTTGATATTACATTACTATTAAGTATTATTATATTTTGATTATTAGTAATATTTTTTCAATCTCTAGTTTTACTGATTAGAGACAAATGCAAACAAACAATAAAATGTTAAATAAAATTACTATTTGGTCAGAATTGAAACTTGTTTATTGCAAACATATATTATATTCTAAAAAATACTAACTTTTAATGCTTTTTTCTTCTTTTAAAATGGGTTTAACACAAAATAAACACAAAAAAGTAATTTTCATTATTAAACGAATGGCTAAATATAGACAAGAATTGAGCTAAAATTACACACAAAAGGTAACCACAAAGGGATATATGGCTGTATCTCATAGTATATAAATCACTCTTTTGGGATCACAAGAATCTGTTCCGCTTTCACTTCTTAAATGTCAATTCGTCTGAACTTTTATCGCCGATGAAAAGCCAAAAATAGATTCAAAACTGTGTGAATCAATATTAAGGCTAATATTCTGTCAATTTCTCATCTATTATATATTTTTATGCATACATTGAGTACACAATCGCATAGAAAGTCATTTACGAAATGAGAATAATATCTCAATCAATAGGAATATAATATACGCTTACGTTATATACACTCCGAGTATTAAGTCGCAATATAGGTACAATGCTATGAGGATTAGTAGTGTTAATTTGCAGCATAAAACAATACAATTTTTTTTCGCACCTAGTTTACAAAAAGGGTTGCATTTTCCATCAATGTGCGAAGAAATGCACTGCTCTATGCTATGATAATTAACGAGAACTAATCCTTATAGCATTGTACCTATATTGAGACTTAATACTCGGGCTGTACAGCTAAAAGTGTTTCGGATTTTAACCTTTTTTCACGCTATCTATAATTGAAAATCAAATCGATTTCTCATACGTTAGCAACAAATGTATAACATTTTCATGTTTTGTTGCTATGAATTAAAATACATATCTCTTACTCTCTTGACTCATACGCTAAACGAATCGTTAGTTTTACAGCAAACTCGAAGAGTCGCTGCAAAACCAATGCGTTATTTGCGATCCAAAAGGTATTACAAGTGCTAAATATGCTGTATATATAAAAGTGAGAAATATTTAACGTATAACTTCTATACAACTGAATAACTGCTATACATGTATATTCTGGCATTGCATTGGTGTCAACAACTAGTGTGATGTCATATACGCCCTGTGAGTGAAACTCAGCCCAGACTTCGACATTACAGACACATATCCAGCCATCATATGAATTAGTTGATCCCAAACACAGACACACATATCCGACAATCCAAATGGCGTACAGTCTTCGCCGCAGACATATCTAATTGCTAACTCATGAATGGCTAATACCATGGCCTCCATCGGCGGTGCAATGGATGGTCAGTCATCGACGCCAGGGCTCACAGTCATTGAACTGATGGGCAATAAAAATGCAAACGAATCCATTTTACCGCCGATGATCACCTCTAACTACTACGATGAGAGCGGTTCCTGGATGTTCTCCAGTCGTGATATACCTATACTGATCGGTGCGGCCGCAGGTTTGTGTCCAACCCATGCCATTGCCATTCATATGATCGTAATATTGAATGATATAATTTATGTGATGATAATTTAGGTGCAATCGGTTTGATACTAATATTTCTGGCGGCGGCTCTCATATGGCATTGCTGTCAGTTCGCACTCCAACGAGAAAAGAGTAGTTATAGTAAGTATTGCATCCATCCATCCATTGTCTTCTTAAGGGATGAGTCCAACGGTTATATAAACACTAATCTAATGACAGGTTTGGAGAGCGACAGTGAGAAGAATAGCGTGACATCACCGCGCGGATCAAATAACCACTTTTACATTAATAATCCAATCGACTCGACACTAATGAGCGACGAGAAGTGTGTCCCTCGCGACACATCCGACCAGAACCTTAAGAGATCGCTATCGGCGCCCATTCATAGGGATAACTGTGCGCTAAAGGTTTGCAATCGATTGCAATTGTGTTTTGAGTGATAATTAATGTAAATTAACTTTTGTTAGAGTAATACTCAAACGTCAGTCACTAAATCAGCTCACGAGAGGCCATCTCATGGACGGCAGTTGAACGCATCGGCGGTCGATATTGAAGACACGATTGATGACAACGCGGACTCTGTCTCCATAGGCGTCGAATTGGATAACAAAAATGAGATCAATTCTCAAAGAAGTCATATGTATGCGACAAATCATCATCATTTAAGCGGTGATATGAGTGCATTAAAGTCAAAGAGTCTGCCTTGGAGTCAGTCCAACAAACGTAGAACTGTTACCATCGACGACGAAAACGACGAATTGGCGGCTAAGGTAGTGATGATTACAGAAATATATTCATAGATTTATAGTAAAAATTTTATTCATTGGTACTAATAGTAGTTTGTAGTCAATAGGTATCAATAGTGAAGCCAATAATTTATAAAACAGAAAACCAAATGAAATTATTTATCCATACATTATATGAATGCTAAACTAGAGCCAGAATCTGACGCAAAATCACATTTTGTATTATTAATGAATGCAAACATAATTTCAGATAAATTTCAGTAAAAAGCGTAAGAATCGGATGCGAAACGATAGCGCGGCTGCCATTGCCATGAATAGAAGTGGCGGAACCGATACCAAGGCTAAGACACTGTATTCGCATAAAGACACGGACACTCTTGTGGACAATGAAGCCATAGTTGTTTATGACGAGAGGACTGCCTTATAGGAGTGAAAACCACTGCTAAATCTCATTCCCCACTAATTTATTAGTCGTAAATATAAAACTTACAAAACAATTATATTTTTATTTTTTAATTTAATTATTTTATAGAAGACGAGAGGACTGCCTTATAGGAGTGAAAACCACTGCTAAATCTCATTCCCCACTAATTTATTAGTCGTAAATATAAAACTTACAAAACAATTATATTTTTATTTTTTAATTTAATTATTTTATAGATGAAAAAAATAACATAATTTTTATTATATTACAAACAAAGAGAAGAGATATAATATAAATTTATCAATCATATATAAATGCATATATAATTTGTTATAATTGTAGTGAAAAATAACTAATTTTTATCAATGTTTTACCACAGAATTCATAGAAAATTCATTTGTTTTGTGTCGAGAATAGGTTATATAATATACACCTTTATATGTTAGTGAATGTATGTATCGATGTGTAGCGCACCTGACAAACAGATGATCAGTATTATCGAGAGTTGATTGTAATCAACCAAAAAACAAGCAATCATTTAATTATGAACGAAGGTTTCAACTCATTTTATTTTACTCGCAATTACTTTTAACTAACGATTCATGTGTTTTGATATACAGTATAATTAGACGAGAGGACTGCCTTATAGGAGTGAAAACCACTGCTAAATCTCATTCCCCACTAATTTATTAGTCGTAAATATAAAACTTACAAAACAATTATATTTTTATTTTTTAATTTAATTATTTTATAGAATGAAAAAAATAACATAATTTTTATTATATTACAAACAAAGAGAAGAGATATAATATAAATTTATATATCATATATAAATGCATATATAATTTGTTATAATTGTAGTGAAAAGTAACTAATTTTTATCAATGTTTTACCACAGAATTCATAGAAAATTCATTTGTTTTGTGTCGAGAATAGGTTTATATAATATACACCTTTATATGTTAGTGAATGTATGTATCGATGTGTAGCGCACCTGACAAACAGATGATCAGTACTATTGAGAGTTGATTGTAATCAACCAAAAAACAAGCAATCATTTAATTATGAACGAAGGTTTCAACTCATTTTATTTTACTCGCAATTACTTTTAACTAACGATTCATGTGTTTTGATATACAGTATAATTCTGAGAATTGATTTCGTTTACACCTTTTGACATATAATTATTATACAAAACTATATACAAACTAATACTAATCTACGAAACAAACCCCTTCTCTCAGTCGGCAAAAACAATCAAATCATTTATTATATGACCAAATATTCTGATATTTCTCTCAATTATTCATACAAATTGAGAGATAAATTCTGTGCCCTTTTTGTGCAATTTCTAATTCAATGATATTATAATATATGACACTATGATCTGTAAACTGTTTATCAAATACCAGAATATATAGAGTAAATCTGAATTTCAAGAATTATTCACAAGAGTTTTTCACTATTTCTGATTGTAATCACAAAATGTATTACAAAAAGCAAACAAACAATTCTAACTATACTAACAATTCTAACAATTTATTAATTGTGCTCTCATTCTAAACACAAAGACACTAATGAATAAAAACAATGTTTTGGTTATTCTGTAACAAAATGTTTACAAATATTTACAACTTTGAAATGGGGGCGAAGGCGGGGGTTAACTGTTTTGCATACAATTAAAATTTACATCATTACTACACTACTAGATAGATATATTCTTGTATAACATGTAAGATATTTAGTTTCAATAGTAAGCGTGGGTTTAAAATGTAAAAATATTACATTAAGATCGGCCGAGACTTCAGTTATTTACGAGTGTAAAGCGTTTGTGATAAACACGATTGCATTGACAGTAAATAGTAATAAATACACGTATAGTCAGCTAATCATTAATTATGGTTAACGAGAAATTATCAAACAATATGTGAGACTACAGTGATTCATAAAATGATCATGTACAATTTACAATATAATGTTAGTGGGCATAGAATTGTCGAAATGCAGGCAATGGTAGGGATGTGTAGACAATACGATACACTGATAGTGATCTATACGGCTATCGAGACAATTGTGGACTAATATTGTGGTCAAACTAACGATGCATTTATGGCTTAATTGTAATTCAATAGCGATTCTGACGGACAATACCATAGAGTACGGGTCGGGCGAAGGCCTGCACAACGCATGCGCGCCATTGAGAGTGAGAGACAGTGAGAGAGTGTTTGGTATCCATTCTCTGGCATTCATTTCACACATTCAGTGAACGAACCGATCGTTTGTCGCATTGTTTTCACTCATTATTAGTAATATTATTATTAAATCAGTAATTAATGATTGAATTGATTACACATTTGCCATACGATTAACACAATTGCGATCACTGTTTGGATTCACTGACGATTCAATTGAGGACCAGTTATAACACGAAACGCTGTGAAGAGTATTGTCTGGCATTGAATGGCAAACGAAATGCATTAATGATTGCCTCAAATGAACGATAAATCTATTGAAAGCCATTGAATCGTTTGATCCGACATTTAGTTTGAGCCGCGAAGAAGTGCTGAAGAAGTGTGGCGTCTGTTGCGGACAATGCAGTGGTGAGCGAACCGATGGGACCCACAATACATTCACCGATCTCTTCGGGCGACGAAGACTTGGATTTGAGTCAAAACGACGACCGACTCAACGATGAGGACATGGATGACGGCCCGGACGACGGCGAGTGCTCTCAACAGGCGGTGACTCGTCGTCGCCGTCGACACCACGTGTCCGGTCGCCGGCATAAAGACGGCAAACATCGCCACAAACACGGCGTAAGACATAAGCGACACAAACGTAAGACGGCTTCGTCTCAGTCGTCGCCGACGAGCGCCGGCGCCACCGCTTCGACGTCCGGCCATAAGACTCATCGTCGACGACATCGTAACCATCACTTCGACACTGAGTACGACTTCGAGCCAAAGCCGCAGATAATCAGTAATAAACCTCTCGTCCAATACGACGACGTCAGCGAAAATGACGACATTCTGTCCGATCGGGTCTGCGATGAGAAACACTGGCCATTGATTTGATTCATTGATATTAATGTTGTATTGTTTTTGAATTCACAGATGGAAGTGGAAGAGGGAGAGGTCGAGGAAGAGGAGGGAGAAGTGAGCGGCAGTGGTGTCGGAGACCAGGTTTGCCACAATCAACGGACCAATCAGTCGAAGAACTCGCGTCCGAAGACTCCGCCGCCTCCGCAACAATCGGATCCAACGCACAGATCGCGGAGTCAATCGCCGGACCTCTCGGGCCCTCACAAGTTGATGCGCTCGCCATCTAAGTCGCCCCCAATGTCTCCGCCACTGTTGGAGCCGCAGTCACGTCACTCTCGAAGTCCATCGCCCGATACGTCAGTCCATCCGCGGCGACGAACGCCCACTAAGTCTCCGCCCGTTTTGGAGCCGCCGGCGCGTCGCTCCCGAAGTCGATCGCCAGTTATTTCTAGCGCTGGTCATCACAAGAAGAGACAGCCATCGAAGTCGCCTCCGATGTCACCGCCGATGGAACTGTACAGACGGTCGCGAAGCAAATCGCCAGACATGTCGTCTCATCACAGGAAACGCACTCCCAATAAGTCTCCGCCGATGGAAGCGTTACGTCACTCAAGAACTAAATCTCCGGGCATTGCGTCTCATCACAGGCGAAGGTCGCGATCAAAGTCTCCACCAATGGAACCGATGCGTCGCTCGCGGTCTAAGACGCCTCCCCTATCGAACCATCACAGGAGGCGCTCCATATCGCCAGCCATGAGGTCGTGTACTCCAGTACAGAGGCGTCGGTCGCGCACCCGATCGCCGCCGCCATCGATGTCCTCCCATAGGAGTGATCCGTACTATGAAATGAAATCTATGAAATCGCCGAAAGGGCGTCGCAGTCATCGACGGTCTTCGCGCGACAGATCTCCGATGCCTTCACAACACAGACCCAAATCACGCGAACGAATGATGAAAAACAAATACTTAACGCGTGAGCGCTCGCGTTCGCGGACTCCGCCGTACGGACCGCGCGATTCGCGGTACTCGCGATCCAATCAACCGCCGCCTTCCCAGTCGTCGTCGTCTCGCCATCGGTCTCGAGATATGGACCGAACGCCACCCCAACGACACTATCGTAACCGCAGTCGTACGCCTCCGCCGAAGAGTTCGCGCGGCCGCTCGCGATCACCGAATCGGTCGCATTCGCCGCGACACGAGTCCCGCAATCGAGGCTCCAATTCGTCAGTTTTCTTAGACAACAACAAGTATTCGTCGACCAGTTTTGCGGCCGAACTCATGAAACAGAAGAAATTCAAGAAACAAAGCTTTCAGAGCAGTGGTCCGGCCTCTGAAGGACAGGCCTCGTCCACGAGTACGCCCACAGCTCTCACGCCTAACCCAATGAGAAGCTATTTGCCGACCGGCGACGCACCGGACGGCGTCTCGCTATCACTGCTGTCGCATAACGGGTTTGTGCCGATGAAGAGCTCAACTCTACCCCAATTACCATTACCTCCGATTCCAATGCCGACGCAAAACACGGGCAAAGCCTTACGCCTCCCAATGCCTCCACAAGTGTGCGGCACAAACATATCTGCGCTGCCGTTGCCGTCGACGTCACCGGTCGTTGACATGGAAGAGGACGACAACAACACCCAAAGCCCGACACAACAAATCACTAAACGGCCAAAAATATTGGGCAAAAAATCGTTACCTCAACGACAGACTCAACTGAATCCTCGATGCGTTGATGTGTTTAATATAATCAGTCAAATAGGAGAGGGAACGTACGGTCAGGTCTATAAAGCCAAAGATACCGACGACACGTATGTACTCTTCATATTTACTGAGAGAGTCTTGTTTTTAACTCTACTTTCATTCACAGAATCGTTGCCCTAAAGAAAGTGCGATTAGAAAACGAAAAGGAAGGCTTTCCCATCACTGCTGTAAATACCCTCTCTCTCTCTCTTCTCCCTCCTCTTCCTCGACCTCTGACGGACAATACCATAGAGTACGGGTCGGGCGAAGGCCTGCACAACGCATGCGCGCCATTGAGAGTGAGAGACAGTGAGAGAGACTCTCTCTCTCTCTCTCTCTCTCTCTCTCTCTCTAAAACAGTAATTTTCAATACTCTATTGACAGGTGCGAGAGATTAAGATTTTGCGTCAATTAAATCACGCGAATATCATTAATCTGAAAGAAATAGTCACCGATAAGGAGGACGCACTCGACTTCCGACGAGACAAAGGTTTGTACATTGAATGAAATGATTTTGGCCGCAATTCACTGCTAATGATTTTCTCTCCTATTTGTCACCTATAGGTGCCTTCTATTTAGTGTTTGAATACATGGACCACGACTTGATGGGTCTGTTAGAAAGTGGTTTAATCGAATTCCAAGAGTCCAATATCGGGCATACGATGAGACAACTGTTGGATGGACTCAATTATTGTCATAAAAATAATTTCCTTCATCGAGACATCAAGTGTTCAAACATTTTAATGAATAACAAGTAAGCGAACTGTTGGTCAAAAAAGTATGCGAATAGTGTTATAAGACTTGTCTGTGTTTGCGGTGATGAAGGGGACAGATAAAACTGGCCGACTTTGGTTTGGCCCGACTGTTCAGCGCTGAGGACAAGATGCGGCCGTACACTAACAAAGTGATCACTCTATGGTATAGACCACCGGAGCTATTGTTAGGCGAAGAGCGCTACGGACCCGCTATCGATGTTTGGAGTTGTGGGTAAATGTCTTGATTTGATTACATTTTACAAAAAAAAAATTTGGTAACTGAATGGGAATTAATTGTTTTTGTTGTTTAGCTGTATATTAGGAGAATTATTCAAAGGAAAGCCTATATTTCAGGCCAATTCAGAGCCCATGCAGTTGGAGGCGATCGCCAAATACTGTGGCGCGCCCTCACCGGCCAACTGGCCATCAGTGATACATTTGCCGCACTGGACTTCAATGAAACTTAAGAAACAATACAACCGAATACTTCGCGACAATTTTCATTTGTATGTTTTTTAAAAACTTTTTTTTATACGATATTTGAATGTCTGGTTGTCTTACTGTTTGTCGATAGTATGCCGAAGACTGCGTTGGATCTGTTGGACGCTATGCTGTGTTTGGATCCGAGTAAAAGAATTACCGCCGACCAGGCGCTCAACTGTGATTGGCTTAAGAATATAAACAGTATGACGCCTCCAGTGTATGTCTTACTCTCCTTTTCATTTGCGATTGTATTATAATTGTCGATAAAATTGATTGAATGCTAAATTTGAACCATTTGTGATCGGTTTGCTTCCCATAACAGTCTGCCTCAGGATCAGGACTGCCATGAAATGTGGTCCAAACAACGGAGACGTAAACTACAACAACAGCAGCAATTAGAACAGCAACAGTCCCAACAATCTAATGGTATTCACAACTAATACATTGACTGTGTTTTCAATTCAAACAGAGATGACTTGACTGTACAGTAGTATATAATTTCGTTTTATTACTAATTAATTATTTTTTGTTGTAAATATTATGCAAATAAATATGAAAAATACAGTTGACATTACAAAACGATGTCCACAGAAGGTATAGGTGTGTGTCTTGTTGTGTTGTCGTCTAAATGCAGCGGTTATTTTGGTTTAGCGGGCGAGCCCTCCAATCCCAGAGACAACTCATAACTGTAATTATAATAACACAAAAATATATAACAATTTTTAATATCAGTTGTGACCAACATTTCACGTTTATATCAAAACTTTTTTGCGACAATTATTATTATATATTTTTGGTTTTGCTTTTTTTGTTGTTGAATAAAATTCTCACAAAATATTGACTCTCGGATAAAGTCGATCAATGATTTGAATGTCTTTAATAATAATTAAAAATTATATTAAAAATAAATTGTACGAAATATATGACATTATTGTTGAAATTGTTTGTATTTTCCAAAAATTATGATTTAAATAAAAGAAATCTAATTAAATATATAAATAATATATCGGTTGACAAAACCATGAATGTGTGGCTTAATTGTAGGAATGCAATCAAGTGCTATAGGCTATAGCAATGCATTGATAAAAGTACCATGTACATTACATTGTACAATAACAGTGCTAGGAGCATTTTTACAATTAGCCCCACACACCCGATAAGCCCCTCCATATGATATAATGTCCCACATTATTGTATATATCTGATTAGATGATGTAATTTCATGACTTTTCACACTAATATATGAAATCATGAACATATTATAAGTAGACATTCAGTAAACCATAACTAAACTATCAAATCATTGATTGACTTCAACGAGAATTCAGATGTAATAATAATAATTTCAATATTTTGTGAAAACTGACAGATGATATGAGAATCGAGTGTAAACTTATGGACCATAAGTTATGGTGTGAACTGAGACAGTAGTCTAATTGCATAATACATCTGTTGTATGGTCACGAATAGCCACTAATTAAGCTATAGTAACCGGACTTTGGTCTAGGATTTTTAAGACCGGTGGGCACCTTACCAACCTCACTTGCCACACAAGAAGTTGCCGTCTATTGAAGACCCCAATTGTTGTGTTTGCACAACTTATCGCCACTCGCGGCGCTTGTGTGAGAAGACGTCGTTAACCTAGACGTAATTCTAGAGCATAACAACCGTTGTGAAGAGCTTTAAGTAATCGAAATGCAGACAAACACTGATAGTAAATTAATATGGATAATTTAGTCCACGAACTGAATATTAGATATATTATGGTTGAATATGTATAATAAATACCTGGGTATAACTCGGATACCGTGTGTTAATCATTGTTATATCAGTTAGAAAAGTACCCAAATATGGTATCGTTCCGAACGACTCGTCCTCTAAGCTATAATTTTATGTACAATTTTTATTTTTCATTCATTCAATTCCGTTAAGAAAAATAAGTTGTTTATCGCTATAACTCGTTGTTACCTGACTTTAGACGTGCCTTCAATGATGAGTTGTCATACAGAATCATCACAGACTAACAATTGCAGCAGCTGTTATCACCTGTTGGTGAACTTACACCTGTAACTCCGCGCTGAATAAAATCAGGTTTGGCTAACGAAGTTAGCTATATACCTAAGTAACCTTAAACCGGCGATTATAGCCTTTATTGTCGTAGAAAAAAAATAAAACCATTTTATGAAAAATATTCCGATTAATTAAGTGCTGAAATAATTATCTATACTTTTAATGAATTAAAATTTCGTATTTTTCTCAATTGAAGCGCGACTTCAATCCAATGAGAGGTAACGATATGTGGACTAAAAATTGTGATAATATAATGTGTAAAATATTTGAAATAATTAAACATGTAATATGTTATGTGCAATACCTGTGCGCTTTCAAAATGGTTATAATGACATGTCGTGACAATAGATTGAAGTTTTTGATCATATTTTGTATCTTTGATTTTGAACGCGAAGTAATGAGCAATGAATGGGGTTTTAGATATAGAAAATTTTCCTAAGATTGCATTTTTGTGATGAAAAAAACAAAATATTTAGTATTTTAATAATTGTTGTAGTTTTGAAGAAAATAGATTTTGTATTTAAAAAAGTAATTACTAAATCAATTGCTGTGATCTGTTGTGCTATAAACCTGGGGTCCAATTCCAGTACTGACGACGATTTGTTGTATGATTTCTGTGCAAATAAAGGGTTCAAAACATTTATATTAAACTTCTTTATGTTTCGTAAATATATATATCGAAATTCATTTATTTAAAAAACAATTGTATTCTGCAATTGAGAAAACAGTTTCATTTTTTATATTATGATTGATTCAGTGATAAATATTTTTCAATTATAAGTGCAAATGTTTTATGCAATTGGCCTCACATTTGCTGAACAGACATGTAAAAAGTCTACAACTATTGTTATATTCTGTCATTCATTATCGCATTTTGTGTTTGACGTTAAAATGCATATCAAATATGTTAACGAGAATTGCATAACAAAATTACAAAACATGAATAAACCTTTTATTTCATTTGTTTTCCCCTCAATTTTCTAATTAACAGATAATTAATTGCTTTCAGTAAATAAAATCCATTTGAATGCAAGACAATTAACATAAGAAATAAGTAATTCTTGAGATATGTTTCGATACTTTATGAAAATTTATTACCAAATTTTCTCACTTATTATTTGCGTAAAAAATGTTTTTCACGATCTCATCGCTTAGTTAACACATCGTAAGACTTATTTTAGTCTAAATTCCTAACAATTATTTTGAAATCACAATTACTATTAACTTTTCCAAAATTACATTACGATTAACACTTTAACGTTAAAATTATGTAAATATTTGTGTTTTTTTAACAATCATTAGAATTTATATTTTATAACTATTATCTAAAAGAAACCCAAATTTTAATTGAAACTACAATTGAATGAATTCAATGACTACTAATCTTAATTGAAAGTCAAAACTCATTATTAAATAAACTTTTTTCTTAGAAACAATTCTTATGTATTGAGTGTTTAACAAAAAACGTAAGAAATTTTAGATTAAAGAAAGACCATTGAAGATGTCGTGACTTAAATCTACTGTTGTTTTAGATAATAATACTAATTGTTTTTATTTATAGAGCTTTTGAACGAAAAAATTAATTCAAATAATGAATTGAAAAATTTATTTTGGAGTTAAAAATTGAGCTCAAAATTATTTGGTTCACTCATTGAAATGTGTTGTGAAAGCAAACATAAATAAACTGCATTTAAACCGTACTATAAATACAATGATAATCACGAAGAATAACAGATAAAACAACAATAATAGTGTTGTTGTAATAGTTTTTTTGCTGGCAATGAATTGACACTTGATTTGTCACAAATTGATTTGAAAATGGATTGTTTTCTCATTACATTATTAGCGAAATTACTATCAATTGCTTTTTGTTTTGATATTTGAATAAAAGCTGACTTATAGAAGAAGTAAAAAAGTTAACCAAACATTAAAACCAATTTTAAGACTTAGTTTCGTAACTCAAACTTAAGATAACTGATATTTATTATTTGATTTACGGTCTTATCTGCGATATTGGTATCAGTGGGTCATTGAGTATATAATACATGCAAACGACAAACACAGGCAATAAAAGCTAATAAATACCTGATTTGTGGATATGATATCCGGTGTCGACTCTGTTTTCATGTCCACAATTGTGAGACATTTTCGATAAACCCTTTCGTCGATATTCGGTATACTTAATAGTTTGTCCACTAATGTCATGGGTTTGTGTCCGCTGTCTTCCGACGAGTTGGTCGAACAGTTGGACTCGTAGTGAGAACTGCCGGTCGAGTCATAACTGTTGCTGTTTAGAGACAAGTCAGCCGTCGGCGGCGGCGATGGTTGCCTACTGTCGGCCACATCTAACTCACTATCTTTACAGGTGTTGGAGGCGTCGCCGGTCGTGAACTCAGTCCTAAAGTCCTCGCAATAGTTGTCTAACCAATAATGAAGAATGAAATTTAACTGCTTTTGGCAACAGTGGTGTTGATGTCTTAATATGATGGCCAACAGGTGTTGCGGCAAATGGTACTGTCTATACGTGCAAAACATGACATGCATGGCATGGGCCACGTTATTGCGCTCCTCTTCCAGCAGATTCTGGTTCTGCATCTCTTCGTCTGAGCTGTGATTTGGCGTCAAAAACAGTATGTATTTCACGATATGCTCTAAAGTGGCCGCCCGTATGATCCGTATCTGTCGGGTCTCCCATTGAAGACACTGATCCGTCGTATCGATTGCAACAAATATATAACAGAAAATTACCATCAGTTATGTTATTCTCATTTTGTGATATTTTTTATATAAGTTTTGTATAAATTATAAGGAATTTAAGATATTTTTCAAGTCAATGGCGAAACCAAATACTTGTTTGGAAATTAAATTAATTTATTTTCTAAGTCCTAATAATTAGAGTAAAAAATCTATTCATTGAATAATAAAGTAATTTAATTTATATTAAACTGATAATAATTACAAAACATACAAACCTGTTGGTCATCAAACCAAGTGGTGGTTCGCTTCGGCGTCTTCTTTGACTTCGGCGAAGAGTCTGTTTGATCACAACGTGTCACACATTCTTCGGCCGTTTTGTCGCTCAATTTGAGTCCATAGATGTCTTCGCAAACCACAGAATAAGTAATTTTCTTGAGATATATCGAGTAAATTGAGTCCGCGTTGTGTTCTTCGCCCCAGAATTTGCGTAACTTTTTATCGCTATTTAAAGCGTTTGGCTTTTTATGATCGCCCGAACTGTTGGCCGCTTTGGCCTCACTTTTGGATGTCTTCTTCCGCGAAGAGCCCATTGTGGCCAACGATATGGTCGGAGTCGCCATTTGGCACACAAACCACTCAATCGGATGCATACATAACAAGAGTATCAATGAGTGAATGAATGGCCCAATTGGTGGCAATCCTGGCAATCAATCGATGGCTAAAACTCGTGTCGCAAACGAAAGGCTCAAATCATAACAACATTAACCAAATATTCAACACTTGGAAACACGTTATAAGAGATTCCAGTTCTGGTGGTTGTGTTGACAACACATAGAGTGGTATATATAAAGTGGTGTCAGAAATATTCAGGTCTTTCGTGCGTTTGTTTCTTGTGTACACTTTTCGCATATAATGAACACAAAAGTTAGACAACTTTTTTAATGGGTTAACTGAACGCACATTCACTTCATAGGCACCACAAATACGCACTCAAACTATGCTCTCAATAACTTTTAACTTCAAAATATATATTAAGTTTTATTTGTTATTTTGTTTAATAAATATTAGTTTTCAAACGCATTCCTCTTCTCTCTCTCCGTCTGTTTTCGTGTAAATGAAATATGAATTCAAATCTCGAACTCAAACACAGAAATAATGATATGATTTATTGATTGCAGGGATGAGAGTGTAATCAAATGCTATGACATACTATGGTATACCTCTGTATATACCATCATATTTTTGTTTCTCATATGTAATGTCTGCCTGTTATGAGTCATGACATCAATTGTCATTACCTGTATTACGTATACCTGTATGTTATATGCAATGCGCGAACAGGTATTATACACTCTGTAAGTCTATTGTGAGTCCCTTTAAATGCCAAAACCTGGTGCCGAGCGCTGGCACTGGCGTTGGCTGTGATGAGAGGCACAGGTATGTGGTGTCTGAGAGGTATCCTAACGGAAGCGATTGTGTGACTGTTTGTGGCGCTATTTTATCACTTAATGATGCAATTCATTCATTCATACCTTCATTATTCTTATCATACGATACCATAGAATACTATAACTTTTGTTATTAACACTTCATTATTACTACAAATGATTCCCACATTATGTAAGAATATATCGATTAGTTTTGTAACTAATATTTCTGTAAAACTTTTGAAAAATGTTTTCGCATAATATTCCCTATTCTTTCAATCAATTCATTGCTCTTTTGCACACTTATAATGCAATCATTCAATGCATTGAATTGTAAAATGTGATGAATTAATGGCAAAGAATTTATATAAAAACAAAATTTCAAATTACATTGTTTTATATTCTTATTTTCCACTTATTCCTTATTACTAAGCAAACCGTTTTGGAGCATTTGTGGAGCATTTTTTATAGTTTTGCGCACAATAATGACTATTACAACAATTTGTTCATTTTAAAGCATTAGTTAAATTCTGATTCTCTAACTAATTCATAGTTTTTGTTTAGTCTGCATATTAAATGACTCATTTATTGGTTGCTTTACTTATTACATAGGATTTGACAAAATTATAGTCTATTTAACGCATTTATGTTTATATTGTAAACACAAACATATTATAAAGTTTATAATATGAAAATTCTGTTTATTTATTATGAGAATTGGTGCCAAATATTGATGGTTACAAAATTGTATTGTTATTTGAGTTTGAATTCAATTATTGAAACTCATTTATTTAGATCATTGTTAACCAGAAATAATAATCCGTATAAAATGAGAAAATAACATGTTAGAATATATCGTTCAGTTAATATCTAGGTAATTCTCTATCAAAAATAATAAAGTAGAAAGATTTTAATATTCCGGTAATACTCTGAACCTTCACTTAAGGCACGTTCACATTTTACGTTCGCACTTTTTCAGAACGTCCCCCCTCCCCCTTATGTTCGCAATTCCTTTATCTCTAAGAAATAAAACTATTTCTATTCAAGTCATATATTTATTCAAAGTTTGTTATCAAACAATTAACTTTGATAAAACTAAACTGTTTAAATGCGAACGCTCTTAAGTGCTGTACCCCTCCCCTCCTTCGTTTGCAAAAGTTTGCTTTGTCCGACACCACCCCTCCCCCTAAGTGCAAACGTAATATGTGAAAATCCCCTATCAATTGATCCAATAATTATATTTATTTACTTTTATTATTACAGGAATCATGAAGTGGTGCAACGGATACACTATATTGATAGTGTGTTTAAATGAATGTTACATTGAATGTTCATTTACTCGTCAATAATTATTATAAAGTATTATGTATTTTACCTTATTTTATACGACACTAATAGATATAATAAATTGAATTTAGTATAATATTTGTGTCAGTTATTTGATTTTCAATTGTTACATTGTTCAATTTTCTTTTCACAATTTATATGTGAAAATAATTTTTATTTATTCTTTAAGAATTGCATTTTTATGTAAGAAAAGCAGTTAATATTTCAGAACTAAGACGACGTGGAATTTGTATCATATTGTAAATAAGTTCAACAATTAATATATTCTAAGTTACATGTACAAGTTACTGTATATTTCGCAAATGTTAGTTTTCGTCACATCTAAATTAGATCTAATACACAATTTTCCATTAAAATTTTTAAACTAAACTTTATAATAAAAGAAATGTGTGAGCATATTACATTAAAAATAAATGTTTTTTGAGGTTCAGTCATATTCTGGAAATGTTTTAAACCTTAAATATTCCTCAACTCTGACTGTATAGCGAAAAGTATTTTATTTTATACTAAAAATGAATGCATTTTGAGGTTCAGTCATATTCTGGAAATGTTTTAAACCTTAAATATTCCTCAACTCTGACTGTATAGCAAAAAGTATTTTATTTTAAACTAAAAATGAATGCATTTTTAAGGTTCAGTCATATTCTGGAAATGTTTTAAACCTTAAATATTCCTCAACTCTGACTGTATAGCAAAAAGTATTTTATTTTATACTAAAAATGAATGCATTTTGAGGTTCAGTCATATTCTGGAAATGTTTTAAACCTTAAATATTCCTCAACTCTGACTGTATAGCAAAAAAGTATTTTATTTTAAACTAAAAATGAATGCATTTTGAGGTTCAGTTATATTCTGGAAATGTTTTAAACCCTGAATATTCCTCAACTTATACAACATATAAAAACATTTATCTGTAAATATGACAGTTGGACACTATATTCGTGCGTAACTCTTAACAGTTGCACTTATAAATTAAAAATTATGGCCAAACAATCACAAGTTATTGCCGGTAGTTATGGTTTATTGAAATTTTATTACTTTTTAGACATAATTAACAAAAAATCGAAAGTATTGAATGACATGAGATATACAGATATAATATTTTGATGAATTAAAATGATTTAAATGATCACAAAATAATAATAATAATAAACAAATAATTACTGAATAAACAATTTTTAAGACATTTAAATAAATTCATTAGCGTTTCGATGAAATCAAATCAAAAAATGTTTTGCGCGAAAAGAAAAACGATTAAAAATAATAATAATGGCATAAAATTAGGCACAAAAAACATGGTATAATAATAATGATAATAATAATGACTAATATCTTAATATATTGTGTTTATGTTTAATGATATGGTTGTCGAGCATTGACCAGAACTTCAAAAGGTTGGCCCGATCTAAGTGGCGCTTATTGCGGGACAACTCGATCACTTCGACCGACCACTTCCCGACATTCGTGTCTAATTTCATTTCATCGAACTTCAGGTGAAATGCTTTGACTAAACAATAAAATACATCATAAATTAGGCCTTAATTTGTAAACAAAATACTCGATGAATACTTCGGGCAAAAATCTCGACGGGATTGCCATCCCATGGCCAGCCCTTAAACTGCCAGGCAGGACCTTGCACAAATACGGCCACCACTCGGTTCCTGTCAAACATATCAACAAAACTAATGTAATTAAACACATAATAGAGATAATAATGGTTGTGACGGACCAGTCGTCGAGCTCTAGTTTGAGCGGATTGTCGATCACACGATACGGAACAGTCGTGTTGTCGGCTTTGCGTCGCTGTACGAGCAGCTCATTCTCGCGGCGCTGATCGCCGCTCTTGTGGTCCACGTAATGGAGGTCTTGAAGAATAGCCTTCGCGTTATACATGGATATGAGTGATGTTGTGGTCGACGGGATTATAATGATCGGTGTCCGCGAAGTGCGCTTCTGTGGCTTCGAACTACTCGTGTTATGCGAGGCGTGTGTTTGCGAATAGTTGTGAGCGTTTGGGGCGCCGCCACCCGCGGGGGTCACTGTCTTTGGTTGGGGCTGTCCTTCGGTCACACTCTTAAGTGTGAGGCCGTGATAAGTGCCGGTCGTATCGATTCGGAAACCGATTGTGTCGTTCTTCGTGAACCTCTCCTGATCGTAACGATTGTACTGTTGCTGCTGTGAAGCCAACTGTTGCTGTTGTTGCGATGCCGTCGATGGAGTGGCCGCTACTCTTTGGGCCGTCGGGTTTAGCACTAAATATTGTCAATATATTGTTAACAGATTGTGTCCTCAAAATCATGTCAATAACAAAACAATACCGTTGTTAACAGCATTTGGCTGTGGGTTCGGCTTCCGATGGCCCTCTTCTCTGGACTTTAACGAATGCAATGTCGGAAATATAGACTTTTGAAAGTTCTGTTGGATATGTAATTAATAATTAATTACTTAATTAACACATGGTTTGTTAGCGATGTTACCTTTCCAGTGGATTGCAATATATTAGTCCTATTCCTCCAAATCCTCTCTTTATTCTGTATCTCTCGAGTGAAGTTAGAATCGTATTGAAGAAGCACTGAATGCAATTGTGTCGGTCCACTCATTGCACCACTAAATTCATCATCAATTCAGACAATAATTAAACACAAAAATCCATATTTTCTCTCCAATAAAAACCTCTGATTTTGATTGCCCTCTAAGTCGGTGTCGGCGTCGATGATTGTACTCCTCTTTTTGGCCAAACGCTTTGCCTATAAATGCCAATCAATAGACATTACAAATGGTTATAGAATTTGCTATGAAAACAATACCTTAAGGGCCGCGATCTGATCGGAACCCATGGCATCCCTGAGCGAAGTGGCGGACGAATCGCCGGACACGAGTGAGATGGCTGTCGGCGGCAATGGTTTCTTGATTTTAGGCGCATCCAAACGGGCGGCGAACTCTTTGCGCACTTTTTCCATCTCATCCATTCGCCGCAACTTATTGGGCGTCGGCTCCGCGTCATTGCCCGCCAATCCGTGGCCTAAGATCGTCGACGACGCGGACCCCATATTACTCAACTCGGTCTTCAGCTGTGAGGCAGAAATGGGCAGTTCTATGGGCGCACTCTTGTCGATGGAGGCAGTGGTGGCCGTCTCTCCGCATAGATATGATAACAAGTCCTTACGATCGGGTCTTTGGACGACTGGAAAACACATTCATATTAATCAATAAAAGGTGACAATGAAGTGATCAAAGTGTGCGCTAATACCGGGTATCTCTTCAGAGGCGGCCTGTTTTACATAAGCCGGATGTTGGAGTTGGATGTTCTTCAGGAAGAATAGCAGACATTCCAACGTATAGTAGCCTTTATGAGGTGATCAAAGTGTGCGCTAATACCGGGTATCTCTTCAGAGGCGGCCTGTTTTACATAAGCCGGATGTTGGAGTTGGATGTTCTTCAGGAAGAATAGCAGACATTCCAACGTATAGTAGCCTTTATTGGGTCCGTCGCGCGAAGAACTGTTAAAATCAATTCAACGCTTTGTATGAGACATATGTGTGGTTCAGGAAGTGATGGCAATGGAGAGGATAACTAACCTGTATATCAAATAATTGGTTTTCACAGTCTTTGGCCAACAATACTCTCCAAAACAGATGAGATTACTCTTCTCGACGATCTCTTTCTTATTCACATTGTATTGCCGTAAGAGTGACAACGGGTCGGCCATTACTCCGGAGGAATAAACACGTCTTCAGGACAACGGCAACAGCGAAGACAAGAGAGTGATTGGGATTGTTTCGCACCGCAAGTGGGAAGTGATGGACAGTATTGGCGACAAGTGATCGCTTGATTTGATTGACAAACAAAACAATACTTAACTAAAAATAGTGTTGTTTTGAATGGATTTGAAACACAATTTGTAGAATAAAATGGATTTTCAAAATCAAAACAAAACACACTTTCGATGTATTGTTGCCTTCAATGCATTGAAAATAAGTGGCTTTTCTTTGCCATCGATTACAACGCTATCTATTGGTTGTGAAAATGTATTTGTCATTCAATTTTGACACAACTTTTGAATTATATTTTAAATAATTGTTTAGTTTTATTGTTAAAACATATTTTATATTCAATATTATATTGAATGGCATTGTCTGTAGATTTGTATAGTTTTATAAATATAATACAATTGAATAATGATATAAATTAAATATTTTATACAACAATTGATTATTGAGGGATTAATTTATCAAGATTAAAATTAACATATTTTAAAAATATAAATTAAAATTCTAATTTTAAAAGTGAAATCTATAAAAAGTAAAATTAATTAAATTAAAATCAATTCATGCAAATCCTGATTATTATCTCAAACTATTAATAAATTTGATTTCCTCGCCACGAATTTGCAGCTTCTTATCCATAAGTGTTGTCTCCTCTTTGATCTGATCCATAAAGAGTTAAAAAATCAATAAATACAAGCAATGCATTAAATATTGCAAAAAACACTCACGTGAACCACCGATGCCTTGGCGTACGAGAGTTCCCCGCATTTAGAGCAGGCCTTCGCCGGTAGCAGTAGATTGAATGTATAGCTCCTGTTCTTACAGTTCTTGCACTTAAAGAACCGTTTGGTGGCCTTATGTCTGACCAGTTTGTGGCCACTCTTCTTACACAACTCGGAGGCCGAATGAGCCGTATATTTGCAATCGTGACAACTAATGACAACGCATTCTGTTTCATACGTTTCCGATAACTTTGTCTCCATTTTCTCCTTCTTCTCGAGTGTAGAGAAGTATTTTTCTGTAGCCATCGCTTCGGCCTTTTCAACGCCGCTCTCAGACAACTAATGACAACGCATTCTGTTTCATACGTTTCCGATAACTTTGTCTCCATTTTCTCCTTCTTCTCGAGTGTAGAGAAGTATTTTTCTGTAGCCATCGCTTCGGCCTTTTCAACGCCGCTCTCGTTAACCGATTTACGGCTCAACGCTTTACTTATGATATCGGCTCTCATTTTCTTCGCCCGTCGCTCTTCCCTGTCCTCGGCGTCCGCTTCGTCTTCGGGTGCGTCCGAAGCGCTCAATTCGGTGGCGATCTTCGATTTGATTCTCTCCAACGCTCTCTTGTTTTTGCTCTTTTTACTGTCATTTGGATCTTCGGCGGCAATAGGTTTTGCTTTCAATGCCTGAATCGCCCGTAATTTGGCGTCAGATTTGTGGCTCAAATCAATCATATCTCCCGACTTATAGCCTTTGGCCAAAGCGGGTATCGAAAAGTTTGGTCTGCTATTAGTCTCACGTCTAACCGAATTAAACACATCTTTGGCCGAAATGGGGGCCGAGTTTTGAGCCATACTTGCCTTCACGTCAGCGCAAGTGAGCGCCAAATTCTTGGCCGCCTTTGAGAGCGGATTTTTCATCACTTTTGACAGGGATTTAGTCTCACTTTCCTTCTTCGCTCTCATATCACTTGATTTGAAGGCTTTGGTCTCAACGAGCGGCGCGTCCTTACGCTCGCCGTCAGCGAAAGCGTTACAAAACATACCGGTGTTCGCCGAAGCGGTCGCGTACTTCTTGGGCTCCACGTTAGAGAACGAGGTCTGAATTTCGGCCCGTTTTGAGCTAAACTTCTTGTA